GACCGACCAGTGAAGTGGTTTTGATTCGGCGAATTCAAAGGACGCCGTTTTAATTATTTCCTGCGGCCCTCCGCCTGTATAGGCCCCTTTAATTGAAATTTCTCGGAGAAGATCGCCCCGTCTAAGTTATGGAGGAAAAGAAGCAAAATAAAGCATTCTTATCTTATCGTTGCGTCAAAACAATTGGGCAGTAAATCAAGAAGGATGATGTCGGGAAAGCGGACCGGTGGAGGTATCTGGCGGTGTACGGCCGAAACAACGCCAGATAACCGTTACAGCGTGAACGGAACTGGTAGCATGCGCCTTCCGCCGGAAGTCGACGAGCGATCGCAAAAGCTCGGAATTTCGACCCGAAATAGTTCGTCGAGAATTATCAATTAAAATCGGACCGTAATCTGTGTTTACACGGCGACTTCAGCGACGCCTGCCGGTATAAATATCAGCCGTACACACGCATGGGCACATAAATCTGCCCTGTTTTTCAATGGTCGCCCGGTAATTCCCCGACAACAATACGAATCGCGGACAAATCCGCCAACGTCGACGCGCCAATACCACCGTGAACACGACGGCACAGGGGTACCACTACAATAATACGCAAATACACACATACCCTCAATAGCACGATTACACCAACCAAACTCAACTCAACTCAACTAAAAATATATATACAGTGTGTTAATTAATTATCGTACCCGACAAAGTACGCAACCAATATCACAGTATACGTATTGCAATACGCGATTTGCGTATTTGGTTGCATACCTGCAATATTAAAAAAAAATAAACAGCCACAAAAACTCAAAATACATAAAAAAAACTTAAATTATAACAATTAATTAAATGAAAACGTTTGATTTTGATTTAATAGTATATTTAATAGATAAAAGGGTAGGATGGAGGGTTGTGAATCGGGCTTTGAGTCGGACGGGACGGTTGCGGGGTTCGTGGGGGCCACGAGGTGGGAAAGGGATAATGAATGTGCCTGGCCGTTTCGCAATTACATAGTTTAATTCGAATGTAATTTATAATTCCGCATTGTCATGCACGTGATGTGCACAGTTTGCTAAATGGATGAATGTTTTGCAGCGCGTAGGTAAATTTGGAGGTACAACGAACGAACGAACGTTGGCGGGGTGAGGTGCGGAACGGACAAAAAGCCAGCCGGACCGTGAACCCTGGCTCACGTACACCACTGGCAACTGCCCAGTCCAATTATCGACTGAATTGTACCGAAAATGTTTGATATTTTCATAATATTATTTTGATATTGAGAAGTTTTGTGTTTGTTCAGCCTTAATTTGAGATGTTAAGCGCTAATTTATAACTAGAAAGAAGATGAGGATAATTTCTGTAAAGTTCAAAATGATGGAATTCTTCTTGGTAACCACTACAACATTGTCCAAATCATTAAAAATTTATTAATTGCAGATCTAAGTTTTTTCAAAAGTGATGCAAAATTGTTCTGCATACAGTTTCCACATTTATCAGAGGCAGAACTAAAAGAAGGAATTTGTGTGGGTCCTGACATACGTAAACTAATAGAAGTTTTGATAAGAAATTTCGGCACACAATGTCAGGTGTTGAAAGAAAAGCTGCTTTCAAAAAGGTGATCACTAGATTGTTAGGGAATGAAAAAGACTCTAACTATATCAGCACAGTCAAAATACTATACGTGTAAAATCTTATCTAATAGGTAAGAAATCGAAAGAACAAAGAGAAATATGAGAAACACAATTTGATATAAAAGTTTTTGTTATTTGTCGATATCGATTAATTAATGTCATCTCCACAGATACTTTTCTACCATATCGTTTCGACGAAAAGATATAACTCCCTATTGTATATATCTTATTACACATCTATTGTGGGACGTCGCACGAAGTTAGCCAATCGTTACCGGTACGGAGTGCGGTTCTGAAATGAGATTTTTCCCTTTTGTCCACGATAAGACGTTAATAATAAAAGGTACGCCGCAGGGCGAAGTCCTGCTGAGAAAGCGAGCAGGTCACAGCTCGTCTCTTCGTGTCAAGTGTTATTGCAGTTCGGGGCGATGTCAGACACATCGGTCGGCCGCTTCTCCATCCATATCATCTCCGAATTGCTGAGTCCCGTTCGATTTTACTATGGCGATCAGAAAACGGATTTTTATTACGAAAACGCGAACGATTCCGTTGCCCAACCTTTAAAAGCCGTCATAATTCAGCGTCAACGTTCCGATCTGTTTGTTGTGACAGGACGGTAGCGTTAATTTGTGGAGTGGTGCCCGTTTTTCTCCGAAATAAAACAGGTATATGTGGACCACGTCACCTAATTTTTCTTTCACGCCGCTTTTTCTAATCGTACGCGTTTCTCGCCGACTAATTTATCTAGAGACACACCACCTGCGGACGGTTATTTATTCTACGAAATTAGAACAACATTCATTTTCAAATTCTGTCTTATTTCGTTTTTTTCTTTACTTAATCAACATAAAATAACTAAAGGACGACATTTACTTTCTCGGTTAAGCATCATGACATCTCAACCATGTCTTAAACATAACATCCGAGTGGAAGATGGTAAAGAGATTCAGTCAAATTGCGGCTTTTCAACATCCACAGAAATAAGAACTTTGCTTGTAAACAGATTAATTGCACTTGGTGTCTATACACTCACTCTTATCTTATCCTCCTATACTCTAAACATGCCACTGAATCTGAGCATCTTACAAAAATACTTTTAAAACAAAAGATTTAGCAAATATTACTCTTAGCAATATTGCTCTGTTGCAGTATTGCACTCAGGCCCACTTTTACCATCCTCCTGATAAACTATCTAGAGGATAGTTGCTATGGTCACCACGGTTTTAAGCGCTCTCATTGGCTAAAAACTGGATTTATCTATCGGATAAATTTATCAGGAGGTGGTAAAGGTGGGCCTTAGGCTCGTTACTACCATCTTCTGGTTAAGCTATCTAAGAGATTATTACCACGGTTACGGCTATTTTACGCGCTCTGATTGGCTAGTAGATGGGTTTATCTATAAGATAAATTTATCTAAAAGATGGTAGTAATGGACCTTAGACACATAGATATTGAGAATAAATCGAAAAGGTGAAAATTAGATGAAATCGTGGGTTTACATCTTGTGCTACAGCAAGAAATTCGGAACGTTTTAAGAAAAAGTTTTTGTATAAAAGAAAAATTCGAATAGTTGTGATGTTGAAAATCAAAGATCAAAATCCTATCTAATTGGAAGCTAGAAAAAATGTGTGCTTCGCATAGGTTGTAAGCATCCTGTTTATATGTTCTAGTGTAGGTTTTCGCTAATAAATTATTACCGATATCAAAGGGTAAACAGAGCACCGGTGCTCTTTGAAGTTTAAGCGCAACAAAGAAACACCGTTTGATTTATTAGTCGAATCCCATTGTCTCGGAAGTACTAAACTACAATTAAGCGGGAGGACGATTTGTTTCTTTTCGGCAAGATTATAATTGCTTCGCCGTAAATAAAATTTTAGCAGTCGCTCCCGATATTTTTAGCCTTTTTACGACGACCTATTGCTCAAATATCCGCACCTGCTCGGGGTTTGGCGTAAAAAAGCGATCAAATCTGGCGTGCGTTTCCCACCGTCATTCCGGTGGAAAATTAGGATTTACGACGATTTTTCTAATCCTAACAAATATTTTACGACTGTCGCCGTACCGCGACGGCCGCAGGTCCGCACCATACTGTCACATTTGGACAGTAAAACCTTATATTTAGATCAAACGGGCCGGCGATTTGGGTCAGAAACGTGTAGGAAGGAAACGCAAAGGCTTCCCGGAAGAGTTTTATCTACTCTACGTAAGCGTAATTCCTTTTAGGTGGCTCCTTACAAAGACTTATGGACACAATGGACTTGAATGCGATAGCACTCCTTTGCGATGAAATCAATTCGGCGAGTAATTCGTTTCGCGTGGCGACCATAAAAAAGAATCGGCGGTACACATAATTTCCGGGCATAAAATTACCGTTTCAAATTCGCGCTACGAACGGCTCCGCGGGGAAACGTTAAACGAGAAAACAAGATACGACCCTCCCGTTTCGAGTACTTCACGTGCTCGCTAAGACAATTACCCCGTTAACCGATTATTACTCATTATTATATTTACTACCATCGTAAATTTTATTGTACCACATCGACAACTGCCTATTCTACAATTACCATCATCGTCAATATAAATATCAAATTTTCTTTTACTACCTAATAACGATTTAAGATTTCAAAAGGCCCCAACATCGACGAGTATTATTATTGTCCTGTCCCCCTCTAACTGAAGACGAGATTCATCTTTAAAACCCCACGAGACCAATCATGGGGGCATTCTGTAGGTAACGCAATTAAGACGGCTAATTGAAGACGCCGGTTATCTCGTTGAAAGGTAATCACAGCCCACCTCTACGCCATATAATTTCCCTCTTCGTCGCGATATAAGCGTGTCCTGATGAGACATAATTACGGTCCCGGCGAATCTTTGTGATGATGACGGAGAAAGGACGCGCCCGCGGTGTCCCGCCCACCTACGGCCCCCCAAACTCCTGATGGGGACTTCAAAACCATTGTTCGAGACGGTTCAGGTAGCTAACGCCGTTGCCATTGTCGCCTGCACAAGATGGAGGTCTTGAAATGAGGGTGAAATTTGAGTAGGGAGAGAAACCCTCGAAAAAAGTTCTTGTAATGGAAAATTAATTGAGAAATTTAACGATCTAAAAAATTATTGATAATCATAACGTTTTTAGAAATCAATTTCTGGACCTCAGAACCAAACAGTATTAAGTCACATTCTTTAAATTTTACAGGAGAGCAATTTGAAGATTTTGAACAAATGTATTTTTCAAACCGATTACTATTGTAAATAGGAGAGCATAGGTTTTTATTTTCCCTGTTATGGTTTTGTAAGCTAACTAAAGCTGATAATAACCAACCTCCTACATTAATTTATTGAAATAATTTTAAATTAATTGTGGGACTTAATACTGTTTGGTTCTAACAATGGACTTAATATCTTGTGACTTAATACTGTATAGCTCCTACGAATTTATAGATACGTGCGACTTGATACTGAATTATTATTAAGAAACTCATAGTAGAACAATCCAAAGTAGAATCAAAATGAATTAATACCAATTATGACTAATTAATAAAGGGTAACAAAAGGCAAAAAGACACTAAAAATAATTTTTCTTACATTTGAGGCAATTTTGTTTGAGGGTTCATGTTTACCCCTTTGGTCGGGTATTACGATACCACCAAGTTGTCTTTTCGATAACGCATTACGTACAGAGGTTTGGGATATATTTAAGGTGTTAAGAAAATAAGTACGGCACACACTAAACTTCTTACCATCTACACTAAAAAAATACTTCAACGACGTTTTTCTTTTACCAGCACGAGATCCCGTTCTAGCACGTACACGCTCAACTGGAACTTCTTCTATGCAGCTAGCTATAAATTGTCTTTTCTGGTCAAGTTCGATGCTACCATTCCAAAATTGTGAGTGAATTAGAGCACGACTCTCAACTGATATGTTCTGCTTGCACTGCTTTTTACATTCATCAGGACAAGGTGCTTTCATTTCTTTTTTTCCAGTAAGCTTATTGGTGGCTGACAGATATTCTTCACCAGCAGCTCTCCTTTGCTTTCTAATGTTTTTCTTCCAATTAACGGAATTTCTTTTTCTTTTCTTTCCCTTAGTTTCTCGGATTTCTACAGCTCCTTCCTCTTGTTCTTCTTCCAGTTCTTTTGTATCACTATTTTCCTCAGGTAGATAAGGTGAGTCTTCAGATTCAATATTATAGTCTTCTTTGTGTTGTAAATTATTTGCGTCTACTTCATCTGCTTTATAGTGAGGTCCATCGTCATTATTTTGAATAATAATATTTTGTAGAATATTGATTTTAGAAGGTTTCTCGTATTCGTGATTTTTATCTTCATTCCTATTGCCTTGAACAAAATGCTCTGGTGAGCTTTCTGCTGGCTGAGACTCGTCTGTATTATCTCGTAGGATATCTTCGGTATTGGAAAAAGGCACATTATTTTTACTAACAAAGATGGTATTGTACACATTGTTATTCAAAGAAATAACATCCTCTGCAGCATTGCCATAACCGGTTGCAAGAATTTTCAAATTTTCATGAGGGATATCCTGCGTACTATTAGTGGTTGGATATATTTCCATAACTATCTCAGCATCTTCTATAATAATATTATTATTTAATCATATTTATTATTAAATAAATTATCTTATTTACCGTTCTCCTCAGCCAAAAGTGAGGTTATAACAGGTTTTTCAGATATTTCGTTGCACTTGGCTTGTGTTAGTGTCATTTGTAATATCTTTTGGCCTCTTGAAGACATCATGTTGATCCTATTCACTTATTAAATATTAAAACTATAAAATTATCAAGCATTTCTTGTTAACTTCACGAACAAAATAATGTGACTTAATATTATGACAACTGATGTACACTAAAACAAAACAGTATTAAGTCCAATCACCTAACCTCACATTTGGACTTAATAGCTAAATACTGGATATCTTCCAGAGCCAAACAGTATCAAAAACCTTTAATACTGTTTGGTTCTATTTAATACAGGACTTAATATCAATAATCTACACCTATCTCGTAAACGGGAAGAAACTGGACTTAATACGCGTCGTCATTGGAAAGAGCGGAAAAAAATACTATAGGAACAATCATAACCTCAAAAACGAAAAAAAATGGACTTAATACTGTTTGGCTCTGAGGTCCAGATTTAAGAATTAAAATTTGGATGCAAATGATAATTAAGACTCCAAGAAGAAGGAAGCAATAGAAAACGAGGTGTTGATTGCAGAAAATTAGATACTGCCAATGGAAGACTAAAAGTTCATCAAATTTTCATAGATTCAGTTTTTTTTCGATATCTATGTATCTGAGTGTAAATGTGCAAGAGAGCAATATTGTTTACAATAAAATTTGCTGGTGGCAGAAGATTAAATTCTATTAGCAAAAGACTAAGACACTATTAAAATAGGACAATAAATAAGATAAGATCTAACGAGAACTTATCATTATATTATTCAACTTATAGGTCGTAATTTATCAAATGTACTCAAAGTTGTTGAGTATTAATCTAAACTGGCGTATGCCGTGGTGAAAAGTCAAACTACACAGACGACAGGTAAAACAGTGTAGGAGGCGACACCAATAAATCACTGAAGCCGCTCGGTAAACACCGCGAAATTGCCAAGAAAATTACCTGCGAGAGTCGCTCGGGTGTAAATTCATTACTAGGGCCCGCTAATAAACGGCATTTATCAACTTGGAGGCGACGTTTACTCGGCCAAAGTAGGGGAGACGTTTACAAGACAAGCTCGAATCTGTTAAAAATTGTACCTACCCTCGCAAACCTCGAGCCTTCGAGGTAGTTTAAACGTTATTATACCATTCGTACGGTGCTATTACTTTTTATTACGCTTTATTATTACCACGATACGCGTAAAATCTCGGCAGATTATTACTTAATCAACTTTAATTGATATAAAATGAAATTTGGAGTTTGGATTTTTCACCTGAAATCGTCGGAAAGTAATTCAATTGGAGTTTCAGTTTGAACGTAGAAGGGTTAGTCTGAAAGCGTTGGTTTTTGGGACTGAAAGCGATTCGAGACGTGAATTACCTGGAAATTAACCGTGAACGCCGGGCGGATCCTGCAACACAAGCACTCATTACCGGCGTTCCGCACCCCGAACGCTGACTCACCCCTTCACCACGATTCGTAGCAAATATCGAGACAGGGTCCCAGAAAACCGTCGAACTTTAAATTAATTTAAATCCACCTCCGCAGGCACGTGAGGCTCTCCGAAAAAGGCTTGCTAAATTGGATTTCCGACGGGATCATCCCAAAATTAGCAAAACTTCCGTGAATAAAATAAGTTACATGAAAAAAGCACGACATGAGAGGTCAATTTGTGGACCCTTTGTGATGTTGAGGTTGAAAAGCTCGCGTGAATTAACAACGCGTCGACGAGGTAAATGGTTTTTTATGTACGAGTAGGTGAATACACGTGTGCTCCCCGGCCATTAATATCAGTGATGGCCGCTTGATCGGCGATGGGCATCCCGAGCCGTGCGGTTAATGCGCTGCCAAGTGGTCCCGAGGGCTCCCCTTCGTGGGAACAGTTACCGCCGATCCCCTGGGACCCTTCTCCTGCCGTCGATACGGTTCCCGATTCACAGTTTATTTGTTTTAAAATCCGCGCAACGGTTCGTTTCACTTTCGAATATCGGTTTCGCACGATCAGATTTTAACTCCAAACTAAAAATTACTTTTAGTAACTTAACAATGGCAAATTAGAACCTTCGAATACGTGAAAAGAGATGAAATTATATTTATCTTTACAATCTAGATTGTTAAAAAGATGCGCCATTAAGATAAAAGAGTGAATCAAGGTCACTTGCGACCGAGGTTATACAATCTAGATTACTAAAAAAATAGTAACCAAAGCAGGATATTCCAGCTCACTAAAGAGATAATAGCTAAGATCGCTTAAGACCGAAGCATTAATCTGGAATTTTAAAGAAATAATAACCAAGGTCACGTGTGGCCGAGGAATTAGGATCTAGAATGCTAAGTTGCTTACGATCGAGGCATTAGGATGTTAGATCAAAATGCTACAGAGTTTATAACTGAAAGTTACGAAAATAATTTAAAGATAGGATAACTGATAAGAACTGCAGTGGAACCAAGGGTCAATATAAAATAGACAAGCTTCTGTCAAAGGGTTAAATATGTGTCCAGGCAACTGTACTGTCTGCTGTGCGTAGTATGTCCATCTAATAGTAAAAGAAGAATCTGAAATAGTAACAATGCTTGCTGGCAAGTCCCAGCATAAATAGTTTATAAGTCTCCATTTCCTTTGCATCTTGAGCCAGCCTTATCGCCTCCAGGAGGGTTCCAACGATCCACGTTCTTATTCGTATCTGTTTCTTCATGCCAATAGTCGTCAACTGTAGATTCGTCCGGCTATTTGTTGAAGTTTCACAAATCAGTATGTTTAGGACCAGCGGATGATTAGTCCACAGATATGGTTCTGGTGATGAGACAACCCCATCTTAGCCTACCAGACAAACTTAATTATACCGCTATTACTTGGTCGAGAGCCTCGATAGGTAGAATTTAGGCCACTGCGCTAGCAAGTGAGATTGGCAATCCACATTTCGCCTCTGTATCAAACAACCTCTGCGGATAAGAGTTTGATGTCTCTATTTAATGTTTCGGGATCTCATGATAGGTAACATGGAGTAGAGTCTCATCATTTCCGGTGTACTCATTGCTGCTCATGTAGCTGAAATTGCCCACTCTCAAATTTCTTTGATGTTAAGGTCATCTGCAAATCTAACCATAACTTATTAAAGCATGTATTATGTAACATTTTGCATTTGACCTCACCAATTTGGATGGTATGGTCTCTATTTAATGTTTCGGGATCTTATGATAGGTAAAATGGAGTAGAGTCTCATCATTTCCGGTGTACTCATTGCTGCTCATGTAGCTGAAATTGGCCACTCTCAAATTTCTTTGATGTTAAGGTCATCTGCACATCTAACCATAACTTATTAAAGCATGTACTATGTGACATTTTGCATTTGACCTCACCAATTTGGATGGTATATTGAGGTTACGCATTATGGTGTAGAGTTTGTTTCTGTCAACGCTGTCGTAAGCTTATTTGAAGTCTGAATATGTGGTTGATGTAAGTGTGTAACCCCCAGAACGTTACTTAGAGTTGTCTGGTGGTTAAAAATTAATTTTAATAAATGATGGCAAATTAGACGGATCGTATAGGTGAAAGGAGGCGAATAAGAAAAGCAAATGTGGCAAGACTAAAGAGTGAACGTAGGCGTTAATTTGAAAAAAGCCGATCGCCAAAGCAAATACAGGTCGGGCCGGGATTTTCTCTGTCCTGATGGATTTGATTGCCGCCCGGTGCCAATTTATTTTTAACCCGGACGACGACCTCTTAACATCCACCAAGCGGATACGTTTCAACAAATACACAAAAAAAATCGATTAAAAATACAAGAAGTATTTATGTTTTGTTTACTATAGGTACCGAATTTAGAGTAACAATAAGTAATTTAAAAGTAACTGATTTTTTGAAAAAACTCCGGTATGTTTTGGCTCCGAAATCTCTTAGAGACCTTGCCAACGCCGTGTCGAACACAACTCTCCCGTAGCGGCTGCAGAACGTATCTTCTCGGTAAGAAACGATCCACTCCTCCAGATTTACACAACGACGCTTTTTACTTTATTGCTTCTAAAATTGATTTTCTTCGAATTTATAATTTCAAACAGGGGGGTGCGATTATTCAATTAGGTAATTAATTTCGCGTAAGTACGGATTTGGACGGTGTTTACGCAGTCCTCGACGGCCTGGGGAGTACTATACAAAGTGGGATTACCGACAGCTCACCTGAATATTCATACGGCATCGCGGGAAATCGACCGGGATTAAGCGGGATTCCGATTTCCGATGGATTCCGTCGACTACGACAACGACGACGACGAAAACGGGGAGTGAAAAATGATTTTTAGTTTTCGGGACGCGCATTCTACCAAAAAAGGAACCGACACGGGTGGATAATAAAACGACGGGGGGCCTTCTCTCCTCTCTAGTGGTTGCCAGTCATTTGCCTTTAACAACTGCGAAACTAATGGATTCCGCTACTGCCGGGATCCGCCATTGTGGTTGAGGATCGGCCCCCTCATAATTTTATCTTCCTGGGTATAGCCGAGGCCCCCTCTCTTTCCTCGTTCACCTTACACACCATTATTCTTTCCCATTCGAAAGGTGGAATCGATAAGTACGGGTTGGTTGATATTGTCGAATAAATTCGCGCGTAAACACCTTGGGGATAAAGACCGGCCGTAATCCATAACTAAAACTTGCTCAGTTATAACCATATTCTAGTTAGGAAGCGAAAATTGTCAAAATGTTAAAATTGAATACTTTCGTTGCTAAAGTCGGTGATAACTGGCTAAACTAAAGGTGATGCAGAAAAATCTTTTGGATATAAATTGTTTATAATGGATCAAAAATACATAATCCATAACCAGGTCTGGCTCAGTTGTAACAATATTCTAGTTAGAGTCACGCAATCTTTCATCATATCTAATTATCTAAATCAAATTATGTATCATTTTAAAGAACACACTTTTAGCTTTCTTTTGATGTATGTGATTTATACATGTCTTCGATTTCATAGATAAGATCTCAAAATTGGTCTATTTTGACATCAATCTAACAAGGATTTTTTTGACTCTTGTATCTTATTTAAAATTAAGTTTTTTATGTTTAACAGAGATAATATGAATAGGTTATATTGTGGGGGTAAAAAGAAGTTATGAGACGAGCTTTTGTAGGATGGCACTCGAAAAATATAATATATATACGAAGGAAGGGACCAATTCCTTTCACGCAAGGATAACATAAACATAGGAAGGCCTAAGGCCCTTCTACCGTTCCCTGATTGCCGTCACCTACTTGCGGTGACCCCTGGTAGAAAAAGCTCATGTCACGTCGCTCGACTCCCAAATAAATTCCCGGCCCATCGCCGAGCGAGAGGAGGCAATATAGACAATGATGTTATATCGGGGGGCTTCCGTATATATACGGGGCGACGTCGTTCACCTTGCATAGTCCGTGAGGAAAATAATATTAGCCGCCCTGCGGGGAGACG